GGCCTCAGGTGTCCCGGGGTGGAGAATCAACGTTCACGCGAAATAAACTTCGTGTCGAATGAGATTCGACACTTTTTGCACCGCGATTGTGAGAACATCGCAGACTATTTAAAAAGGACGACTGGTGTGGTCTGGCTATGTTCTTTCTCGTCCACTCGCGGGAAGAGTAGGTCGAGATCTCCGGACGCACCTACCTGGATCGCCCCACGTGTGAAGCTATAGTCCGCGATGTCGTCTAGAAGAGTACAACCACAGCTGTAGCAGGAATAATTTGGTATTCCTGAACCGGAAGAGGGAGCAGGATTACCAGCATCCTCTACCGTGGGGACGAAACAGAACACCAACTGCCGTCACGCCAAGCCTACATCTACACGCATGGCCAAATAGCAGCCCTATGGTCAACACGAACAGTCGCAACTTTACAGTTGCTGATTGATAAAGTCAGTATTCGCTTCGATAAAGGACAGCCGCCCCAGCCGTCCGAAACGTCAGCAAATCTACAAAATTATTCCGGTGAGCAGAAGATGAACTCTTATTCTTATTCCGGAATTCTGAATTTTTCAAATTTAAACATCCCTTATGCTTCCATCAACTGTTCCTCCATCGTCCCACTTTACCAACCTGTGCAGAGGCTACAGTTTCAATTCTTCGAATTCCTATCACAACCACGTCGACTTCCTGGTTACCGCAAACAGGCATGACATTTTTTTCAGTTTAAAAGCTCTCACAGCTTTCACCATCAGAATAAACTAGAATAGCATTAAGCCAGGTACGGCAACCATCGCAGGTCAAAGCTTCTGAGAGGCTTTAGCTAAGCCACCATGGCCATTGGCATGTGGCCTTAATCGTAGAATAGTCTGAGACATGGGCATGAATTACAGTATCCTATGGTTACCTATGATTAAGGATCCTCGACAGAATCCGAAACGTCAGAAAAATAAAATTCCTGTTCCAGTGATCGCATCTTCTTCTCCTTTTTCTGAAAAGTCACTGTTGAGCCGCAGGGTAATCAATTAAGACCACCTGTTTGACCAATCCCGAAATCGTACTAGACGGACAGGTAAAATGCACCCCTTGGTACCGCCCATGATCGCAATAAAAGAGAGGCTGAAAATATAAGCAGTCACTTCAACTTGCACAACGAGCACAATTTGATCAGACCCACCATCTGGACGAGGATGTTTGCAGTAGTCAAGTCTCCGTGGATGACATTATTGGCATGCATCTTGGCCAGCAAATCACCCAGACGGTGTGCCATTAGCTCCAGCTTCTCGCTTTTCTCGCCCCGATCAAGATGCTCGTCCTGCAGGAGGCAGGAGAGCCAGGCACCGAGGGGCACCGCGTTGGGGCCCACATCCTCCAGCCAGAGCTGTCGTCGAGCCATGTCCACGTGGTAGATGGCCGGCACGGGCAGACCTAGTTGGCGACATTTGAGCAGTTGACGAGCCTCCGCGCGCATTCGTTTGAGGGAGAGGAGGGCGTCCAGGGTTTCATGTCGGTAGGTCTTCACAAAGCGCTCCTTCACGATGCAGGGCTTGGGAAGTGTGGTGAGGAGTTGGGCTGAGTAGATGCGCGCCTCAGCCCCCTGGCGAACCAGCTCACCGGGAGGGTGAGGCGGGGGGAGAACCGCGTCAAATGCCGAGACTCCCGCGTCCCCCTTTGAATTATCCATGCGCTAGGGCAAGCGAAGAGGGTTCGTGAATTTGCAGGATAGGAGACAATATAAGAAAAAGGGACACGCTCATAAAGTTTTGTTGGCAGGATGTGGGGATGGTTGAGATGGTACACAAAAAACACGAAAGACCCTGTGTGGACAAACGTGGCGGATAATTTTAACCAATGGACTTACGGCATGACCGTCAAATATATTGGCGGGCGTTTTAGTGTTTTTTTTGGCGTGAAGAGATTCCAGAAACTGGAAGAAAACACATCCAAGGCGTCAGGTAAGTTATTTCGCATATAACTTGAAGGTGTGTGCGGCGCTTCGCGCCGGGGACTCTACTAAACTAACTCCAGAACGGTAAGTTGGACCGCAGGTAAGTTGAAGTAGACGACCTCTACCATCATTTCCTTCTTAAATAATTTAAAAAACAATCTAATATAATATAATAAAGAATACAGTATGTACAAACGTTGGAAACGCCTGCTAGTCTGTTGGTCGTTCTTCCTGCATTTTTATTGGCTACACATTTATCCGTCAAATGTTTCAAATACTCACTCACCAAAAACACACCAGTTTCGGTTAAAAGTCCCAAATCTGCAACTGCAAAATTACTGTGGAAGCGTGTTGACCGGCAAGGCTACACATGAGGTGACGAGTTAGAAGAACCGACGAGATTGGTTGAAATGAAGGTTACAACAGCACTCGGAATATGGAGGTATGGGTATGCTCCGCATACAGCAACCGTAGGAGTGGGGTTGTTTATCGGGGCCTTATTTCCGCAAACGTCTATTTTGAAAAGGGATAAACTGAGTCTCCCTTCGGACATGGACTCAGATTATAATGACGCCTTTCTGGTGTGGCCTTTATGATAAATCTCGTCGGTATGAAATTTGAGTTGATTAAGTGTAGTTCGATTTTTTTTAAGTCATCGCGATTGCGGCACGTGCGGGTGGGCGGGTTTCTGGCCACAACATCGATTGTACCTCATCTCATCTGCTGTTGGCTTAACTCGGACCTACCATTGGTTTATTACTTGAGAACGGAGAGGAATTCAAGTTAGCATGGCGTCTATTTCCTGATCACACAACGCCCGACTTGACCTAAAACTACTACAGCAATCGACTGACAGTCGTGGCCTGGAAGAATACCTGACAAATCACGTCGTTATAGCGGAGTTCAATTCATGCGCACTTATGAGTCAGCTTTGGGTGTTAGCCTTGGTATTAGCGTGGGCTTATACTAGACAAAACATGACAAGTGTGGAACGAAAGAGTGGTTCAGATGTAGCGCAGGACCCTGACCATAAATAATTTAGAGTTTAAACCACCTCTGCCTCTCGATCAAAGGTTGTCCTAATATATCTTTAAGGATGAACGACTAAATATTAAAACTGTATTGCGGCCTAGTCAGACGATCCGGACAAAAGTAACTGTCGAGCCTTACTCTTGTGTTAATCCAATAGACGAAAAGGGTGGTAGAATGTACATACAGAGGAGAGTTAGCGCCCCTAAACCGGCCCAGACGGAAGATGCACAGGGGATCGGAGCAGGGCACGGCAGGCGTCAATTGCAATGCGCAACAAACACAAGGACCACACATGCGCGGGGGTGTTGTGACACGCCAAGGCGCAGGATCACGCCGCTCCAGCTATCTGTATGCGATTCTCACATCAGGTGATTCAACGGTTGAGACAGGAACTGCTGCCGGGGAGAGGGGCACGTGACTTTAACTCTGGGAACTGTGTCGCTGTGGTATTCGGCGCATACTCCTCACGCCAAACAGTTTGACGCGGTTTTAGACGATGCGCCAAAATCCCTGGATCTGAAGGCTGCCAAATGACGGGATAACTCGACCCTCTCAGGATTGATAGCTCCTTCGTAATACAGTCTCTATGGCCTAGCATGCAGTTGTGATTCGAGCCGTCTCTTCCCTTTTTTTCTGTGAAAAAGACTGATCCATCGTGCGCGGAAGAGGCGTGCTTGGCTTTGTCAGCTACTGCGCCCGACCCCGTCCCCGGTCTTCCTGACTATGTCCCGACACCAGACCGAGGAGAAAGATGGAGGAGGAAGTGTGGTGGATGCTGTGTAAGACAACTATCACTATAAACGAATTCACATGCAAATCACCGTCCCTGCGTCCGTCATGCTGCAAGGCATGTGGTAGACAACGACGTTCGAACTGTCATAGGAGAGCCAGATTGTAAAAAGTCTAATAACTGAGCAGAGACGCAGACATATCTTTTGAACCGAGGTCCAAAAATGGCCTACTGTATGCGGAACTTAGAGCAAATCAAAGCCTATATGGGCGTCATTTGCCTGATACGATGATGACCCCCGAAGACAGACTGCTTCTTATTTTGGCAAGAGAAAGCGTGGGCAAGGTCAAGATTTAAATGAAGCATTTCGATATACATATAAACACTGTTTCATAAAACACTGTTTCCGTGCATGTAGTTGAAGCAAATGATTCAAAAGCCCTCCCAGTAGCCGAAACCAAGTCGGGGTAAGTACGCAGCAGATTCGATCGCCGGGCTCAGAGGCTCATTCACTGGAACTCAGACTCAGAGACAACAGTAGCCCTTCGGAAACTGATCAGGCGGAAACGATGACATGGCAGTTAGCCCCATTGAATTTCTAATCACGAACAGCGCAAATTCCCAGCACAATTACAATTGCACAGAACAGTCGGGTGTTCACTGCGAACCGCGAAACATTCCTTTCGAGTCTAACAGGCCCCCTCCCAGTGTCGGTAGCCCGCTAGAATTTATCACTGACAATATCAATAGTTGAAAACAGTGCTAGGCAGAAATAAGAAGCCTGATTGTCAACCGACAGTTCGCTTAGCTACCGGTCAAAAATATCCATAATAGTTGCGGTTGTGGAATAATGCAGGCTTCTAATTGTACCAATAATCTGTTTGGATTTTAGGTCATAGGTCAGCGGCAAAACGAAGAACAGTGGTATTGAGAGCGCTCACCAGTTGCTTTAAGGCACATACTCGTCCTGTGAGAGCCTGCCGCTGTGCTGATTCACGCTGCCTTCCTTTGTCACGCTAGCTATCTACTCGCACGTGACAAACTCC